TTTCCCGCGTTCATGTTGGGACAAAACTAATCATTCTGACGACCAGAAGTATCCGTCAAACCAATCCAAAGTGCTTCCCGCACAAGCAATCGTGGTTCGACGGTGTCTAATATTCTCTTTTCACGGCACCTATGAACGTTCTCGCACGAACCAAACAGGCAGAAACAAGACACGCCTTTCCCGGATCTTTTGGTACAGCCCCAGTCGTGACATTTTGATGAGAAGGCAGGTTTTAGTCTGGTTTCTTTCAAAATCAAGGCAGGAATGACCGTCCCGCATGCTGACTTTCGCCCACGCACCCAGATCGAATGTGCGCTCGAAGCGCACTACCGCGGCCTGACGTAACAGAGTTGAGTAGGTGTGCATACTAGTTTAGAGGGGATTGTCTATTCTCGTCGGTTGGGGGCTTGAACCCTGCGTGCGCTTGTGAGAGTTGAACATGAAAGGTTCTTCGGAAACACGAGCTCGCCCTTTCTGTTTCGGCTCCCGGGGCTACGATTCAAGTAACCTCGAGCCATTATATTTTGATCGATTGAGCGCCTGAGATAGCTCAGGGCATAATTCTAATCTTCGGCAACATGCTGTTTCTTGCCGCTTGCAACTGTTTCCATGGGGGAAAATGAAACGTTGCTTTGATTGATATGCCCGACTGATATTTCGTCCTAAAGGGCAGCTAAATGAAATTTAGAAAAAAAAGGGATAAAATGATATAACTCACTGGATCGAGGCGAAGGTAAAACAAATAATTGGTGCTGTACATACTACAGCAACTCAACAATGAGAATGTGTCTGTACCTGGGCGTTGTGCCTCTAGTAGCCCTCTACCCACTAGTAGGTAACTTACGCGAGTCTTTGCCTAATAGAATTCGTGACTACTATTTCTTGATCATGCTCGTCGGCACCTTCCACGTCTTGTGTGGACTGCGGCACAAATGTCTTCCATCGCAGTTGAGAATGAGACGTGCGCGGAAGTCTCGAAGAACAGTTAATTGAGCCTCGTGAGATGCGGAACGTTTACAATAAGTGGTTACCCTCGTCTCACGTAGGTTACAGCACCCGCTTAATGTAACTCGTAATTCTTCGGGGGCAACGGACATATCGGTTCTGCTTCTAGGACACAGGCAGGGCCTTCTCGCAGCACCGCGACAATAAGGTGCTCGGTCCGACCATCCGCGACCGGGGCCCTTCGAAAGTGTGGCGAACCGAAGTGCGGCGGTGGTCGCGCACTCGTCGTCGTTCCTCCGTCTTCTTTCGGGGTTCGGTCGGAGGAAGTGGCGACAGAAGCGTCCCTAACGAGGCGCAGCTGTCGGTGCACCGCGGCTGCTGTCAGCCGTCGGCGGCCGCTCCTCTCGGCCCCCCGCCGTCGCCGACGGGAAGAGACCGCGCTGGCTGGGCACGACTCCTCGCTGCCGCCGCTAATGAATGCCGGCTGTGCGAGTGCAGCCTCACTGCATGCGCGCTTTTTGACGTTTCCTTCCCCTTCCGAAGGCTCGCAGTGGTTAGCCCGGACACGAGATCGCCGATTGTTTCCGCTTTTCTCGAGCGAAACTTAGTGCGCGCCATCTATACTGCGTTTCACGATAACTTGGCGAACGGTAGAGGCTAAAGCCCCGCGACCCGATAAGAGCGTCGAAGCGAGGCAAGTGACCCGACGTCACGGGTGCATTTGTGTCACCACGCCAAATTTGAGGCGCGAGGCCCGGAGGAACCGGCTGTCGTCTGCTAGCCAAGAGTCGTCTGCTCCCAAACCAACCAACTTCGAATGAACGTCCGGCGCAGTAACACATCCGTCTGCTAGAATAGCAAGCACTTTGGGAGCAGTTCATGAGACAAGCGTACTCTGAATTTAACCGCGAATCTGTGACGAGTGCTAATGCCAGGGCACAGTACAATGTGCCCTGGCATAAAGTACACCTTGCGGCTGTGGCATCGTCGCCCACAGGCAGGAGCCAACTCTCGTAGTCTGGTTGAGGCCTCCAGTCTTCGCGGAACACGCAGTGACGTAATTTTCGCTGTTTCGAAAGCGGCGAATTCGGGCTCATGGTGAAAGCAAAGGAAGCACGTAACCACTGATGCTGATTTTCGCTCTAGGATCAGTAAGTATACTTGAAGGAATCTTGCTTCCAGTTTTTATAGGTACAAGATAGAAACTTGGTGACAAATGGCGTAAGAGTTTTAGGTGATTGACGCCGGGAACGCCTCTATACAAACAAATCGCTTCGCTGCGCACGGTACTGCCCTCCAGGACTCAGTCTCCAATAGGAGGTGTATAGCAGAACACGGATGGCTTTGCCTTTGTTCTGCCTCAAACCTAATATGTGTTTAACGTCCCTCTGAAAAAAAAAAAAGACAGAAACGTCTCTTGGCACGTAATTAGTTTATGGCAGGCATTTAGAAATGGTTACAAAGCAAGCCAGAACATAGCAGCACAAACTGACGCCCCGAAAGAGTTCTTTGATCCTATGCGATGGCTCCACTGACAGTATACGGTAGCCCAGAGAATGAGTCAGCACTCAACATGCAGCTCCTATTGCGCACAGTCTCTGTCACTTTCGAACGCATGCAGGCAGCTACACTTGCTTGTAGCTGCCTGCATGCGTTCGAAAGCCTTTGTCAAGATAAAAAAAAGCCGTAAAACCGACGCCTCCCAGAAGGAACATCAATAGATTCACAGCTATCGGGAAGGCACGTAATTATTTTATGGCAGACATCTGGAAACAGTTAGTAAGAAAGTCTGAAAAGATCTTTGGGAAGAATACCGAAGAAACGAGAATGTCGGTGTGTTCTTTTGATCGTGTACGATGGCTCCACTCCACCAGTGCACGCCAGCAGGAACAATGAGCAGGAACTCAATGGGCAGCTCCTATTCTGCATACTCTTTGTTACTTTGGAACACAGGCAGCCTACAAAGTGGCACAAGCTGCCAGAGACGCTCAGCTCTTCCTAGACATCGTCGGCGCGTTTCTTTGGCTTTCGCACTTCAACAATTAAATGTAGAACGAACAGGGAGGGGAAAAAATGACGAGGGATAGAATCTGAAGAAACAGCAACAATATTACACCATGTGTAGTGGAAGGGGAAAGCGCATATGCCGTTCGTCTCAGTGGACTTATGAAGCGCCGTGCGTGTCTTTGTCAAGATGCCGATAGTCGTTAAAAAAACCAACAGCTCCCAGACGGCGCAGCCATCGGGTGAGACTGTCACCAAGGTACCTGCCGGCGTCTTGCTTTTCTTCATTTTCCCTCATTTTCCTGCTTTCTACGGCGCTTCCGGTGGTCGTTCCGTAACTTCCGTTTTGTGTTGTCCCTACCCAGCTTCCTCCCCGCCCTCCGTCTCAGGGAACGCGCTCCGCACGGGTACTTTCTCTACTCGCGTGTCCTCGTAGTGTTTGTATGATTTTTTACTTTTTGTCTCGTCGACAACTATTTATCGTCGTATTTCTTGAATTGTGGCTTAAAAGACGCAAAAAAGCATACATAATAATCGCGATACGTCGGCCAAAAAAACCGGTCAGTAGCGGCCGGTCTTAGGTATGGACCTGGAACCGGCCCGCTGTCTAAAAATACCGGCCGGGCCGGTCAAAAACCCGGATAGGTGATCATGTCGTATTACACCTGAGACTGCGGTGAAAGAAATCGGAAGAACTTTCAGTAGAAGGAACAGACACGTTCTCCGTGTCTGTTCCTTCTACTGAAAGTACTTCCGATTTCTTCCACCGCAGTCTCAGGTGTAATATGACATGATTAGCTACCACCAGCTCGCCTGCACTCTCACCGTCTTTTCTCCGGGTAGGTGACAACACTACGTCTGCGATCGTCGGCAATCCCCAACGGCCACGGCGCTACAAGGCGACAAAAATCGAGCGGATACGGATGTGGTGTCACTTTTCTGTTTTAAATATAATTGAAACTAATAAATTTGTGATTATTTATTCTTTAATCATCATATCTTCCGGTTATAGATGGAACTTTGCGAGTTCAAATGCATGTTAAAAGAAAAAGGAAGCAGAACTACTTTTTGTCGCGGAGGGCTCTGTAGCTGTGGCGGTAACGAGGCCCCGTTGGCCTCGACCATGGAGTGCTATCACGTGCTTTACTCCGACACTGTTCTTAGGTCGAGGGGCCCGCGGCTTCCACACAGTTCGCTAAGTTATCCTGAAGCGGAGTGTAATAGCTGATCCAGCAAATACCCGAGTCTGCCATTGTTTGGTCGCGCGTTCTGAGCGCGTATCGAATGAACAGTAGAGCTGCGACAGCGTTCGGCGTGAGCTCGGCTTGGTTCGTATTGAAAACGAGCGCGGCGACAGCGTTCGGCAAGGTGTCGTATCCAGTCACACTCTTCGTGTCCAAAAAATGGCGCCCACCAAATTTGCTCGATGGGGATTTTGAAAAGGGTCTATTGCGGTCAAGGAGTTCAAATAAAGATTATTATTATGTTGTGCGCTCGAGCTGTTGGACGCTACTATGAAGAAAATGCGAGAAAGCGCCTGCGTCGGGTCCGTGGTAACTCCGCCGTGAAATGTTACCTCTAGTCTGCTTCAACTGCTCGAGCCCCCTTTTCAATTGTGTAGAGCACCGCTGATGAGACTGGTATGTAGCGAACTTTCTCGTTGACTTCCAGCAACGCTGTTTTTAATAAACCAATGCGCATATTCTTCCACGAAACTCATCCATTCCTAAATTTTGTTTTCTTCTTACATGTTGCAGAACTATACCACCACTCAGCGTTTATAGATAACCGTATTTGGCTTGTTTTTGTTATTTGGCGTGACGGTTTTTGTCACACTGGTCATACACTGCTGTTTCAGACAGTTTTGTATGGCTTAGACACGTTCGAAGTATACATATAAGGCAAGCATGCTTCGTACATGCCCGTGGCGCGTTCGCAGACAATTTCGTCACCATGTCTGCAGCGGGACGCCGTGTCTTTTGTATGATGAATCAGAAGTGCGTGGCTGCAGCTTTGCAATCGTCCCTACAATCTGTCGTTGTCCCTCGCAGTTGGCATGGAGATCAAGGCGGAGGTGCATCGGTGGACGCCCGAGGTGCACCGTAGTCCCGGGCTCGGGTCCGGACTCCCCGGCGGGCCCAGGGTGGTGGGGTCGACGGCGGTGCCCATGCTGGGCGATGCCCTTCCGGGCCCCGAGTGCGCCGGCTGCCAGAAGCCTATCCGCGAGCGGTTCCTGCTCAAGGCCCTGGACCAGCTGTGGCACGAGGACTGCCTCAAGTGCGCCTGCTGCGACTGCAGGCTCGGCGAGGTGGGCTCTACGCTCTTCACAAAGGCCAACCTCATCCTCTGCAAGAGGGACTACCTCAGGTCAGTTACCTTATGCGCATTCATTCTTTGCTTCTTACGAGAGGAGCAAAGGTTGGGGTAACGGATGTAACTTTTAGGTGCCTTTGTAAGTTAAGAACACCGACGCGCGATTGAAGACACTCTGCAAGATTGACTACCTCAGGTGCAAGACGGGTAATCATTCTTGTATTTCCTGATGAATCATTTTATGCCTGTGAAAGTTTAGGGGGAGGGTTACGGGTGCCCTCGTACGTTAGGAACACTGAAGCGCAGTAGAAGACACTCTGCAAAAGAGACTATCTCAGATACGTTACGCAGACTCATTCTTGTTTCTAAAGTAGTCATTCTTTTCGGGAAAATAATTTTCTTGGGGGAACGGCGACAGGTGTCCTTCTGAGTTGGGACCACTGAGGTGCGGTAGAAGACAGAAACAACTACCGCCAGCCGCGAAAGTACCTCGTCGTCAAAATTTGCACAATTGATGGGCGTTATTTAAGATGCCTTGGCGTAGAAAGGATCGATTTCATAAACGATGGCAGGTTTTATCGTCTCGAGGTGGCACAGACAACCTAGCATGAACTCGTTAGCGCAATTTGGTTTCTCCTGTCTACGACTGAAATCACTCATTGAAAATTAAGGGATTAAAATTAACGCTTTCGTTGTACCATTTCCCGGAAGGAGCACTGTCACGACGCTTTCTGGTAGAAATTACATTGCTGTTTCGTTTACGCTACGAAGCGCAAAGTGTGAAACATGCGTTTGACCACATGAGCGAGACCGGTAGCGTAATTTTTAACTCATTCCCTTTAAATGGTCACTGTAACTTGGCAACCAAGAACATTGATAGAATAAAGAACCGGTTTTATTCTTTAAAAATTGTAGTTTCGGACCGGTTAGTAATGACGAGGAAACGAGCACTGTTTCCCTTTATTTTCCGCCGCCTCACAATGCAGTCAACTGTAAAGTCTGAGCTCCTTCGTTCCTGAAACGAAACCCATTCCGGGGCCGACGTGCAACGAGCGCTCCGTCCGCCGCATCCGGCAAAAGTGCGCGAGACGCATGGACGCTTTGCGTGCACCTCACGCGCAGGAATGCGTCTGCGGTCGGCCGTGAAGCCGCCGCCAGAGAGCACAAAGAGCGCGCGCGAAACCACGGCGCTCGCGCGCGCGTCCTCGGCACGCAAGCAACGAACGCAACACCGCGACGACGCGTCGATCGACATAGTCGCCAAACCCGCCAAATCTCAAGCCTCCAGACGTGACGCTTTGCCTCTGCCCAAGTAGCCATTTGGTATGCGCGCGGGCACTTCCAACAACGCTTGCGCAAAAAAAAAAAAAAAAAAAAAGAAACTATCAAAACAACACAAAAAAACGCTCGTGAAAGGCAATTTTAGCTTTCACCACGTGCTCGAGGGTTATCGGCTTCTCGTCTGCTGCTCGGCACCGGCAAATGACCAACACGAAATAAGTCCTCTTGTGCCGGCCGACAATGTCCCACCTAGACATCAAGGCCCACACGTTCCTACATCACTGGCGGTTGCACGCAGAGCCGGCTAGCTCGCCGGTGCGCCTTGCAGCGTTTGTCGTCAAGCTTCAGCGTGTTTGCCGCTTGGGGGCGGGTCGGGGTCCACTTAACGATGACGTCATTGGCTGGCTGCGACCGATCACGTGGTGAAGTGTCGTCGTCGACGTAGTCCTCAGCAGGCATTCGCGCGACAGGAGGGGGACGGGGGAGCGCCAGCACAACGATGGCGTTGGTGGGCGCGCTTAAGTAGAGAGCTTAGATTTAAGAGAGCGAGCAACTCGTACGTTGGCAATTTGATGCCAGACTGGTCGCAAGTGCTCATGCGTTGCATCGTAGGAGGAAAGCGGTCGGAATTGAGTTTGAGAAGCTTGCAGACGATCGACGCTTGCTTCACCACCGAGCAGCTCGCATTGCAAACGCGACCCCTAAATCCCGGGACCCTGATCGCCCAGTTGGAAACACTCCCAAAATCTAGGCACAGTAGCTCGGAGCGTGAGCGTCGCATATCCGGCCGGTATTTACAAGGCGCGGTAATAAAAGCGACACCTCCCACCACGAATGCCTGGAATGGCGTGCGAGCGCGGGGACGAGGCCAGCGGCGCTGTTCGCCTTTGTTCGCCTTGTGCCGCCATGCGTTAAGAGCTCAATAATTCAGCTGGGCCGCTGCGCGTGTGTGCACCGCTGCAGCGTCGGAGAACCACGGGTGCGTCTTCATATCCAGGCGACATGCCGATGCCCGCTGATGACCGTCCGTCGGAAACCGCCCGGAATTCGGAATGCGCGCTGCAGCCTACGGTGGCCGAAACTCACCGCCGTTGCACTACTTCCTCTCTCTCGCCCCCCCCCCCCCCCCCCCCCCCTTTTTTTTTTGTTTTGTTCTTCGGCCGCTTTTAACTTACCGATGGCTGATATACAAGAACCAGTGTCGTCTCATTTGTCCACGGTGGCGCTAATGATCAACCGAGGGTGGCGCGTTCTGGAACCCCTCCTCTCTCTCTCCCCCCTTACCTTTCTTTTTCTTTTTTTGCTTTGTTTATTCGCTGTTTTTAACTTATCGATGACAAGAGGACAAGCCCAATTGTCTCTGCTTTCGACATTTTGTGATTGGGGCCTCATCGCACTTATCGGCCAATCTTATAAGATATTCATAGGCGTGCGAGGTTCCAACCAGGTACCACGGTAGTCCTAATATTAATAGGTCGAATCACGTGGTATCAAGTACAGCCATTAATTTTTTAGCTCGTGCAACTTGCTTCGAGGATGCTCTATTTCGTCCCAATTTGTCCGATTAGGCGCTCATTTTACGAGGAAATCATTGAGCCGTGTTTTGGATAAATCTCGGTTTACCGTGATAAAAGAAATGCTGGAAATGGGCTACACATTCGGGCAATCGGGGCTCTTTGTTTTATGGAAGAAAAATAAGACGACGTGTAAGCTTTTGCTTAATTACTCGACTCGGGAATTCAATGGTTCTAATCAGTCACCTTGAAAGTGGAGTTAAAAGTCGCAGACCCTAAGCGTAGAATTTTAGCGTCGAAGGTTTGTTTTCACTGACTCCATTTGCGAAACGTTGCAGCAGGGTCTTTATTACCTTCAGGCTTCAACAACAACCTTTCTGTGTTGTAGCTTTGTTGACTTTTTTTTTGTTTTTGTTTTTGTTGTTTTGGTTGGAGGGGGAAGGAACACTGACATTAAGGCATCAGCTTGCCGAACTTTTGGGCGGTTTTGTCCTCCACTTATCTGAGCAAGCGTTCTGTCGGTGAGAATAAATACCGCGGAGGCTCGCTGTCAGCGCCAGCTCAGCGAACAAGCCGTCCTCAAAGTAGTCGTTGTACGTGCGTCCGATGGCAACTCGATCCGGCCGTCGTCGGCGCGCCCCGGTTTCGCACCTGATAGGCAAATGGCGCGGTGAAATACGAGGCGCTCGCTTCGCACGCGGTATCTCTGATCACCCCGCCCGGTTGCGTCAAACCTCGCGAACCTCTGCGAACGGCGACGTTGCGAACTCGCTTCGAAATATATCCGAGAGCTTAAATATCGCTGAAATCAGTACGTGATTCCTTGGAATTTTCGTTTCTTTCTTGTGTTCGTTTCTCGCGAAGCTTTTATCCAGGTTTACTGCCTGGACGTGCACAGTCAGCATTCTTTTAAGGGTTCACGTTATCGTCTCGTTGGGATACTTGAAAGGACTACATCTTTAAAATTGCATGCAGAGTGTCTGGCGAGGAAAACGAACCGCATTTTTTTGCTTCCTGGAAATAAAATACTTAATGTGAAAAGCTCCGACCACGAGTTTATAGCGCCAGTAATAGACTGATCTCACCTGCCAGATTTTGCTACTCCACTGCTCCCGCGATTCATCGAGGGAGCTTTAGTCTTTCTGCACGTGCGACAACCTGTACTCCTTTTCAGGATAACTTGGCGAACTGTGAAGGCTGCGGCCCCCGCGACCCAATAAAGGCCCGTTCACACTCTTGCGACTGCTTGCGACCTCTTAAACCTGGGTTCCTTAAAACTTGTTAAACCAGAAAACACACTAGCGTCATCTATTGGGAAGCAGTGTAAACTCGGCGGTCCGGCATATTTTTTTTTATTTCTCGAGCATTATCCTTTCTTTCTTGGCTCGAAAAACTTTTGACAATGTTATAAACGAGCCTTTCTATGGGTATTACGCACATTTGACCTCGGAGATCCCGCAAAACCTTCGCTCTTGTGAAATGCAGTTCCAGGGTCACCGCATAGATGGCGCCACAATGTCAGTGTGTTCCCTCATTCTAAGAACATTTAAGAAGTTGTAAGAGATCTCGTCTTTGTCAGTCGTACTCGGTCGCAAGAGTGTGAACGGGCCTTAAGGGCGCCGGACCGAGGCACGTGATAACACTCCATGGTCGAGGCCACCGGGGCCTCGATACCGCCACAGCAACAGAACCCTCCGCGTCAAAAAGTAGTTCTAGGCCATTTTTTCTTTTAACGGCAATTGACCTTTTTCAGAGATCGCTGGGCGCATGCGCCGACTCTGAGAGAGGAGAGGAAAGGGAAAGGCGCCATTTTTGGTGGCTCTCTCGCCCGCTTGGTCGCTCAGACAGTGCTGGTTATGCTTGACTCGTCCGGTATTCCCGCGGCTTGGCCTCATAGTCGTCATGCCTCACCACCGCGCAGCAGAAGGTTGCACAAATAGAAGCAAACATTGTTAAAATGCCAAATTTTATGAAGTTCTTGTAGCCTTTGGCGGGTGGTGCACGAAAGCACCCGATGTCAAACACCCCGCCGTTTTTGCCCTGCTTTCAAAAGCCTATGACTAGAGTCCCCCGTGTCAAGTGGCTGGAACATCAGTTTGACGGTGGGACATTCTGCTTTTAACTAAAATACAGTAAATGTGAACAGGATGATATACCTGAAATTGGGGTAGGAAAAGGAAAACGCAAAAGGACAAGGAAAGAGGACAGACAACGTCTGCTGAGACGTTGCCCGTTTTTCCTTTGCGTTTTCCTTTTCCT